TTTTAATTTTGCCTTCCAGCACAGCGGTTAGATCCAGACACTTTTATGTATTTGTTTATTTATTTTAATGGCAAATGTTTTATTGACACACCATCTTCCCAATAAAACTTTTTGAAAATGGAAATAATCTGGTGCAAAGTGCTTATCTGTTATTGCCATCTTGTTTTGCTTTCGTTTTAATTTAATCATAAAATAGGACCACAGACATCCTGTGAATTTCAGTTAAAGGTGGCCTTTATAGCTTTATAGTAGACTCAATGTATTAAATGTGGTAAATAAAAATAAATTTGGAGAAAAGGGTTGGTCAAAAAATTATATTAAACAAACAGATATATCATTGTTTGTTTTTAAATTTGCCCGCCCTGCAGGTTGATCTGAGTGCTACGAAATGACTGAGACATGGATTTCCTGACTAAACAAAGACATTTTTACCACTTTTTCTACTAGCATGAGTCATAGATAGTTTATTATATTTGTATAAGCTGTATTAGTGTCTTTAATATCAATCCGTTTGTTTTACATCTGAATTAATGCTTCATATAAAACCATAGATCTCAGCATGACAGAACAATGTTGTAGCTGCAACAATCGTGAAAGTTCAGTTGCACATATTCCATGTTTATATTATGTTCTAAATGTCTTTTGCAGCTTTGAAAATCCAACTACATTTAAGAATTGGGCTTATATGAAAATAAAAAAAGTAAAAAAGCTTTAAGAACAAAAACCTGCACAGGGCTGACATCAGATCAGTGAATGATAGCAGGGGTTCATTAAAGCAAAGCAGGTCAGGTACTGGGTATGTTCAAACAGGCCATTTAAAATGTCAGTTTCACAGTCGATTCAGAAAAACCAATGAGTATAAATACAGAGACAGTGGTGGAGAATAGCAAACAAACCAAAAGAGCAATCAGAGGTAATATGGAGCAGCTGTTGCAGAAGACTAATTAAAATAGATTGAGCTGAGCTGGAACAGAAAGAAACTATCAACAAAAGGGGAAAAGATAAGCAGAGATTTAAGGGACATGAAATGACGAGGTACAAAGAACAGAACAGAAAACCATAGGGAGGCATGCTGGAACATAAATACACAACGGGAATTCTGAAAGCATAAAAGCAAACAAAACACAAACACTGACAGCAATGATAAACATTTATTTAGTGACATCAGTTCTTTTTTTTCAGTTTGTTAAAATCAAACTTCAGTCAAAAGCTTTAATCTTAGTTTTATATAAAGCTAGAGGGGAAATGAAAATTGAACTCCAAGCTTACAGTACTTTAAGGTTTTAAAATATGAATAATCTGATGTTTACCAGGTGGTCCAAGTGTTCTCAAGATTAGGAATACGTCTTTATGAACGTACATTTCTGGAAAGAACCCATATGAAGATGTAAACTAATTTAATATGAGTCATGAAAATCACAAACAATTGTACCTCTTGTGATCTATTTGGTTGTGATGTTTCTCCACACCAGGCTCTGACTGTTTTTTTTCTTTATAAGAGTCCAGAATTTATTTAGGTGCAAAAGTTAACTATGGCTATGATTTTAGAGTGGAAATACATGTAAACTTGTTATATTGGAGCTTTAATAGCTTAAGATAATGAAATTGTTACGAAACAAAGCAATTTTAATAAGTGGGTTTGAGATAAGAGTATAATGAGATCATCAACAAAATGTTATTGCTAGAAAATGAGCATCCCACCTGTGGGAGTATGAGATTTGTTTATGATGAATGTTTTTGCCTTGAATCATCTCTCAGCATTGCTGTCAGAATTTTTTAGTTTTTTGGATGAAATAATATGAGCCAGATATCTAAAGAATTGTACCTCTGATATCTTGAGATTATCAAACAGCTACTAAATCAAGTCAAGCTTGAGGTCTCATATCATAATCTGATGACAAAATATAATTTGGCATAAAGGCTTATATAGGTGAGATAATGAGCTTGAAATCTTATGTAGTTCCAGATTAAGTTAATCATCTAATCAAGATATTTCTACAAAGCTTACTTTACCTCTTTTTATCTCTACAAGTAGAACAATAGACTAAAACTGTTGAAGGTAAACCAATGCCTTAAGCTAATGAAACAATACTTATGTTTTAATGCAGGCATCCCCAAACTCTGTCCTCAAGGCCCCCTGTCCTGCAGGTTTTAGAGGTTTCCCTGCTTTAGCACAGCTGGTTATAATGATTGCAGTAGACCAAAAGCTTGTTAATCAGCTTTCAATTAAAATCAGCTGTGCTGGAGCAAGGAAACCTCTAAAACCTGCAGGACAGCGGGCCTCGAGGACCGAGTTTGGGGATGCCTGTTTTAATGTATAATATTTTGAAAGATTAGGATAAACCGCCTTAAATTATGTACCATTTATCTGAATGATTAGAAAATTAATCTAATAGAAATCTGAAAATAATTTATTGTAAAATGAACCTATAATGAAATTGTTAATAAAATCAGTAGTCTTCAAAATTCTCTTATTTGAGATAATCACCTAATCCCACTTTTATTACTACAAAAAAAAAAAAAAAAAAAAAAACATTAGATCTTGTTGTCTTAAAATAATTCCATAGATTAGGGTTATGGAAGTAAAGAGATAAGTACTGTTATCTTATGAAAAAGAAATAAATAGTTATTGGGGTCGTGGAAACCACAAACAGGCTTCAATTTGAAGCCAATCAGACTTTCACTCAGTTTTTTTAAGACGTTTTCGACAGCTATCCATGAGTCAATGCTGTTGGCTCGCACCAGAGCAATCTGTAGTCGGAGCGCTGATGTGTTTAAGGAGCATGGAGATCCATCCTCCTAAGTGCATTCTAAGTCAAATGCAAAACAAATAGCCACCCCTTGTCTTTCAGGATTGTTGGAGCCTTTTGTTGTGCATAGGTCATACAGATAACTCAAAAAATGTATTTATTTGTGCCTCCAGGTTTTTATTTTTACTTGGTCTGCGGTGAGGGGCTGGTTTCCTTCTTCAATCTGACATGGGTGACAAACATATGGCAAGAAACAACCAATCACAGTTAATCTAACATGATTTATGATTCGGCGAGGATCAGGAGAGAACCTATCTATATGCATAGAGAACATGTACTGAATGCAGAACGGCGGGTCAGGATTTAAATCCAGGACCGTCATGGTGTAAGGAGTGGACAGCACACCTGTAACCTGGTCTGAAAATGAAGAGAAATAAACTTCATATTGTCTCAGATTCACCTGAGTTCATCTTTAATATCTTTACTTCTTTGTATTTAAACTGATCTTCAGTCTTTTAATTCGTGAAAGGAATATCAAAGATCCAAAACGATCCTGAAACATAGATCCTGCTACAGATGTATATATAATATGACTATCTATGTTCAAACAGATCTAAAGTCACCACTCGGATGCACACCCGAAACTAAAACTTTCATGAATCTCATAGTGGATGTGAAGCAAAAACCACATGTTCTAGTTCTGCACTCAGTGGGACCGAGCACAGCCAGCCATGTTTTATAACCTCCTTTCGTTATTTAGTGAAGGTGACATTACAGTCATTATAGTGGGACTTGTGTCAGTCATTACATCTGACATTTTGCAGTAATCACACCTTCCTCTCATAACAGGAGGTCTCCTGATAGTCAGTTGTGTAAAATTTGCACATCAAGAGCCTATACATGAGCTCACTATGGCAACAAGCCACTTGAATAATCAACAGCTTCCTATCCATGAGCTAAATGTCAGGGATCTTCTGCTCGGAGTGGAACGGGCCGACAGACGGATTCCTACGTTTGTTGCAGCTTCATCCAAGGAGCTCATCCGTTATTCATGAACCTACGAGTGTTTCCACAGGTTTCCACAGGCCTTCAGCCCATCTGTATCAAAATAACTCAATAGACCAATATGCTCAGGGCAACACGGATCACTTTGAAGATTTCCCATGACCTCAACTTATGAGTGCAGGTTGTGTTTGTGTGAAATTGGAAATGAGCAAATGCTGTCACCACTTTTAGGTAAAAGTTTGATGCCCCTGAAAGCACCCTTTGACATTCATCAGTAGACCTTCTCACAGTTCTGAAACAAAAATCTTCTTTTAAACCTGCACAGCGAACTGTGCTGTTGAAAACTCTCACTCATGGAAACTTGGGATCCGGCTCACGTGTCGTCACAGTCAGACGATCAGGTTTTATGCTTCGCTCGTTCAGGAAACAGCCACTTAGGGGAGGGGGAGAAACGGGGCAGAAAAGATTTCGTATGGTATGAGAAAAGGAAAAACGCAGTCCAGACTCCAGATGTGGAAACACCCAACATAAACACACACTGACAAGCAAACTTAAATACACCCACCAGTATACAAAGAAGCACTGAGAAGGAGGCAAGGGGTCAACAAACAGCTCTGGAGGCTCTGCTTGGCGCCTTGGGATTGGTTGGTCTGCAGTGAAGTGACCTCATTTCTTCAGCCTGCTGGCCATGTTCTAAAACAAAGACTTTAAACAATGAATCCAAGGAATAAACACGAGGAAAGGAATCTTTTTTTTGAGTGAACGGGTGTCATCAATCCAACTAAGCTGTATTATTCTGATCCTTCTTGTTTCATTTTTTATTAAAATAAAGTTATCAAAGTTTTCAAAACCCTTCTTGTTGCACTTTTTTCACATTTATGTTAAACACAAATTTCATTGTATTTTATTCAAATTTCTATATAGCAGACCTACACAAAGTAGAGGGGAATTTTTATATACTGAAATTTTGATTGCTTTCTCAAAACATCTCACTGAAATAACCCAATTACTGATTTAAAACAGGCTTTTAAACCTCCGGAAATCTTTAAATCAGTGTTAGAACTCTAACTGTATCTATGTCCAAGCAGATCACGTTTATGAACATGCAGTTGATAAAATGAGAGGTAATATTTTACAGCCTTCATTCAAAGTGTTTGGTTTGTCGTCCTACAAACGCAACAGCACCCCCCAGTGCATTAAAGCGAAAGTCTTTCTAAGGTCTTAAGCTTTTTGTCTCTCCTCCAGGAGCCAAAGAGCAAGAGCAAAGTCTGCGCCAATGTGTTTTGTGGGGCCGGCAGGGAGTGCGCCGTCAACGAGAAAGGGGAGCCCAGCTGCCTCTGCATTGAGGTAAATGCTTCTAGAGTTCATAGACCAACTGATAGCAGTATTTCACAGCAGAAACACACTAAATCATGTTTGGCTTAATCCTTTTTTTTTTCTGTGTTCTTCACTTTGTAGAGTTGCAAACCCCACAAGAGGTCAGTGTGTGGCAGCAATGGGAAAACCTACAGGAACCACTGCGAGCTGCACAGAGATGCTTGTCTAAGTGGCCTGAAGATCCAAGTGGCTCACGATGGACATTGCCGGGGTTAGAAAAGCCCAAACTAAAAGCTTGATTTCTGTCTTTCATATATTTCCCCCAGTATAACCCTAGAAATAAACCCCAGTATAAAATTATACCGTAAAAGTAGTTTTGATTAAAAGTGATGCTTCAATCATCTGAAATAGACAGGGTGTTTTTATGCTTGCAGATCGATGAATATTTCACATTATGGTAGCAAACTTTACACATCGTCTTTGCTTCAAACAGCTAATCAGTTTCTGACCCAAATCTTGTTTCTTGTAGGTGTTTTAAAGTCTGACCTGCTGATTCAGAGAAAACGGTGCATTCCAGTTTTTTTGATAAATATAGCTGTTTCAAATCAAACAAGATAATTAAAAACATCCTTTTATATACATCAAAGGGTTGGCGCATATCCTGTATCTGTTTCATTCTACTGAATGAAAGAGTTATATCAAAGTGCATTTTGCTTGTTGATCCATTTATGAAAAGAAGAACATGGGACCCCTCAGTTTTGATACATTTAACAAATTAATAAATTTGTAAGGGTTTAATCTCCTGGTTACTGATTAGACAGATAGATAAGCCAGATTCAGTCATTTGATTGTTGCATCTCTAGTTAAAACACTAGAACTCTAAATTCTCCTCTTTTAATGTCGACATGTGGCACTAAACACGTCTAATTTTGGATCTTCTGGATCTTTAATATCAAAGCTTTCTCATCTGCAGAAGAAAATAACTTCTTCCACAAAATGCAAGATAAAAATTAGAGACTGTACATTTTTTCAATTATGTATTTATAAAAAAAAATAGTCAGTATTTTAAGAGCTTTTATTAGACCTTGCATGTGGTCCAGCTGCGGGTATTTATGGACATGATAAGTTAGCAGCATCTTTGATATTTGAACTTGCAAATATGCATTGCTCTAATAACAAGAGGTTACTGGGTTCATAATGTAAAAGAAAAAGCACTACCACATGGCAGTGATACCTGCACCCTCAGCTCTGCTATTAATACATAAAACAGCCGCGTCTTATCTTCAGTGAACCTTTCACTTTTCACACGACACAACGTCATTGTTTTACTGCCGCCCTGACCCTTGATCCTAGGCAGACGATTTGAAATAGGCCATCAAAATTGTTGTGTCATGTAGACCTTTTTGTTCCTGACCTCTATGGTTTATAATTAGCCAAGCTAATCTCCATCAATTTTATTATCACATATTGATTTCTGTGTTTTAATCCTCCTTAGAAAAGAAAACAGATCAAGCAGCTGCCAGCCCAGGTGAGTTTGTTTCTATGCATCAAGCATTCTGCATATTTATTTGCTTTACTGGTGAAGATGCGTAAAACACCTAAATAAATGAATCTTTTTCTACAGCAGTGATTCCTATTAAGGTATAGAAAAGATCTCTAAATGTATAGGAACCATTTAACTATGATATGGCCCAGAGGCTATTTTCTGTAATATAAATGGTTGTTTGAGAGGCACACGAGGAAAAAAATGTATTTTTATATTTTGTTATACATGTACAGAGATGTATTTACTAGATGGTGTGTGCTAGCGTATGGTTTAAACTGTAAAGACCAGAGTTTGCTAAAATGTGTTGGGATTTTATTTTGAACTGCATACCGTGGTCAAATGACACTAAGATTTAGTTTTGAGCGGTGAACTTTCCAGGTGGGTTTGATGTAAACTAAAGAAAGAACCTGAAGAGAAACACTTCATGCTCAATATAAAAAGTATAGTGGAGGATGTTCTTTTTCCGGGTGGATTATCAAAATAAGTGGTCCTCCTCATTCTGGCGATATGCTTAGGAAACGCTGTCCTATCTGCTCGACGCCATTTTCACTTACTGGTGGTGAGTCTGACATTGTGGAAAAATTGTAAATCTTGTTTCAGAAAGTAAGCTTGTATATGGAGGAGGATTAGGGCCACTGAAAAAATTAAAAAAGTTCACAGATTTTTACATTTTATTTCAGTATAATAAGAGGAAAAAGGTCAGAATTCTGATTTTAATCTTAGAACTCTGATTTTTTTTCTCAGAACTATGACTTTAATCTCAAAATTGTGGATCTTAATGTAGATGGGCACCATGAAGGAAGAGATGTGGGATCACTCGGCTTCACTGACAAAGACGTGAGTTGTTTGAGAGGGCCACTAAAACATTGGTGGAAAATTATGGAATTAGGCCACTTTTTACGTGCCCAAGGGGTCCCTGGTGATGCTGTTAATGGAAGAGCAGAAGGTGATTAAAACAAGAGAGCTAGTTTAGTCTCTAAAACAGACATGGCTACGGCTTGATGCTAACATGTTTGTTAGCTGTCAGTCTCTAAAACAGACATGGCTACGGCTTGATGCTAACATGTTTGTTAGCTGTCAGAATTCAGTCAGAATTCTGAGATTAAAGTCAGAATTCTGACTTTTTTCCTATATTAAACTGAAATAATATTTAAAAATCAGTTAACTTTTTTATTTTTATTTTTTTCAGTGGCAATAATACTCCTCTGTACTTGTATGAGCGATGTAAACAGCAACTTTTAAACTTGCCTGTGTTTAATAGGCGTTTCCTCTCGGGAGCGGCTACAGGGTTATCCATGTACCTTTTTTTTTTTAAGTGGGGAGTTCCGGTCTTTTCAAAATTTGTGAAAATCCTCCATTATACCTGTAAGTGCAGTGGAAGGTCTGGATTATCTTACAAAGGCTTGGTGAACCTTGTTAAACTCTGAAATCCTTGGAAGTTTTATTAAAAATCTGCTGAATTCTGCTGGTAGACTAAACATGGATCATATTCAAGTATTTTAATAGCTTATTGATCTTGAAACTTATGGCGTAATTAACAATTTAGTTCTTAAAACACAAATTACTCCCATAAGTCCTAAGAGCTGTGTGGGAGTGGCCTATGAAGGGACCCAGGACTCTGGATGGTAAAAAGATTCATCCAGGAGGAATGGATAGAGATCATTTTCTCTATAACTACCAACCTCTGAAATGTTACAGAAGACAAACTGCTGTCCACTTGGCTGAGGTGTGATGTACAAAGTACTAACAGCATTCATGATAATACTAGAGGTGCTGATTATGTTTTAAAAACACAAACGATATAAAATTAATTAATCTGAAGGCTTTTTTTAATACATATTTACATTGTTAACAATAGAGGGAAGAGTGCTGCATATGCTTTATATATTTTTTTGTGATTTATTATTTCCATTACATTTTTTAAGAAATGCCTTTTTTACCTCTTATGTAAAATGCAATTCCTTTAGTGTAAATTTTAATGGATAGGGACAAAAGTCAACTGTGGAAACACTGTCAAGATAGCATTTATCATTCATATGGATGATTAAACTGTTTGACCTTTGGAAATGCTTCCTCTGCTGCAGTGGTGTGCTACGCTGCTGACCGTAATGAGCTGAGGGGTCGCGTCATCCAGTGGCTGCAGACTGAGGTCGTCCCAGACGGCTGGTTTGCAAAGGGATCCAACTTTTCTGAAATCCTCCTCAAATACTTCAAGGTGGGCTTTGTTATACATGTCACTTATCTTACTCCATTGTTTGTGTTTCTCATATCCAACTGTTAGGTTCTGCTTTCCCCAACCCTCTATCTGCTGACTCAGACTGGATCCAATAACTTTTGTTGCAGTCCTTTCATGTTAGCTGGATATAATTGAGTTTATTTAGGGTGTCTGTTCTGCAGAGGAGGACCAAGTCCTCTTTATAAACTGATAATGTATTTAAGCTAAAACCCCCAAAATGTATGATTTTCTACACTGGGTTTTGAAATTATTTTTTCAATTGCCAAATTAATAAACAAAATCTCAACAATCTCAAAACCTCTGTTCTTTTTCCTTCAAATGAAATGATGTTCATGTTTTAATCTTCATCAGACAGGCTCTATAGTTAGCAATTTGACCCTGAGTGCGTGCGTAAACTAATAATCTGGCCTTAGCAATACAGGACTTATTCAATGGGTCTGATGACGCACTCCCAGCAGCGTCAGATGGATAAGCGTAGGGTCGATTTTGACATTTTTATTCATTTTTCTTTATTTTCTGGACCAGTGGCCTTTACTTGAAAGTGCATGGAAGACATGTTGCAAAGTTCAGCAGGCCTGTGCTTGAACCTGTGACAGCTGCATCTAGGAATTAGGTCTCCACACTTGGATTGCACGCTGTACTGCCTGTGCCTACTGCACTTGGTACTTTTATAATAAAACATATTCATCTAAGGGCAACAGAACCTGTTTCATCAATGCATTATTATTACTGGACATTTGTTTACTACCATAATAAAAGCCTTTAAATCAATGATATCATCGTCATCTGAGCTTCTCTGAACAATTTAAAGGCAAAGTGATCTTTGTGTTTATAAACCTTTGACTTGCTCAATTTAATTAATCAAAATGATTTTTTTAATAAAAGGTGTCCCTCATGCCAAGGAACAAAGATTTAAAGTTAAAACATAAATTTTGGTGAAAATCTTGATCATAATCTGGATATAGGAATTTTTAAAAGATTCTCTAACAAGTGAGATAGAGATATTTATACCCACAAAACCATCGGGTGGAAGCAGTGAATATTGACTGCCTCAGCATCGGACTCAAAAAGAGGTATTTTACTGAAGTCAAAAACGCAAGAAAAGGGAAACTTGTTGGTTTGGTAGCAGGATCAATTGAAAACTTATGAATGGATTTAATGTAAATATTTTAGATGGGGTTTGCCTCATGCCAAGGAACAAAGATTTAAAGTAAAAACATAAATTTTGGTGATAATCCAGATCATAATCTGGATATAGAAACTTTTAAAAGATTCTCTAACATTGTGAGATAGAGATATTTATCCCCACTAAACCATCGGGTGGCAGCGGTGAATATTAACTGCCTCAGCATCGGACTCAAAAAGAGGTATTGTACTGAAGTCAAAAACACAAGAAAAGGGAACCTTGTTGGTTTGTTAGCAGGAACAATTGAAAACTTATGAATGGATTTAATGTAAATATTTTAGATGGGGTTTGCCTCATGCCAAGGAACATTTCATTTAAATTTGGTAATGATCCAGATCATGTGCGAGCTTTAGTTTTAGGTGTAAGTCACAATTTGCGGCAAAATCTGTTGTTTGTTTGCCGCTCTGAATGCTTTTCTAATTTTTGACAGGACGAAAAAAAACAACAAAAAAACATAAATCTTTTCTCTAAGTATGAATTTTTGGAAAACCTTTTCTATTAGCTGACCATATTTTGATGCAAAGATCCAATTTTATGCAAGTACTGAATATTGTGTAGAAAGAAAACGCATCCTTTGAATGGGGCATCCACTTTAAAGCAGGGCTTCCCAAACATTTCAGCTAATGATCACTCCCAAAAAAAAAAAAAAAGGGAAAAGACTGGAGACCCCCTAAAATTATAGATTTACTTCCCTCTAAATTGATTTATGCATACAAGGTAAAGTAATTATGTTCGATTTTTAAAACTACATTTAAAAAAATAAAATTCAGTTATTTAAATGATAATTTTAAATTGTTAAGTGGAACATTGAATAGGGCTCTTAGGTGGGGGCAGTGGGTAGCACAGCAAGAAGGTTCTGGGTTTGATTCCTGGCCCTAGGTCTTTCTGCATGGAGTTGGCATGTTTTCTCTTTGCATGTGCGGGTTCTCTCCGGGTACTCCAGCTTCCTGCTACAGTCCAAAAACATGACTGTTAGGTTAATTGGCTTCTCTAAATTCTCCTTAGGTGTGAATGGTTATGTGTCCTGTGTGATAGGCACCAGCACCCTTCATGACCCTTGGGATAAGTGTGATGGAAAATGGATAAATGGATGGGACATTGAATGGTGCATTTTACAGTGGTATATTTAATTCATCAACTTAATCATAAGCTAAACAAATGAATGTTACATCTACTTATTTCATGATACATTTATTTAAATGACATTATAGATTTCGGCCCTACCTAAACCTCAGGGATCACATCACAATGATTGTGAAAACCATCTCATGACCCCACAGTTGGTGTCTTGTGCCCTCCAGTGGGGGTGCAGACCCCCACTTTGGGAACCCCCTGCTGTAAAGGAATGCATATTTATTTTAAATCAGAATTAAATTTGAGCATTTCAGACATTGGGGCTTATCCCAGGTTACAGAAGGTTGCACATTGGAACTGATCAGGCTTTTGTTGTTTTTGTCACTCATCTTCCTGCAGTCGTATGATGATGGCGATTCTCTGCTGGATTCCTCTGAGCTGCTGAAATTCATCCAGCACAACGAGACAGTTGGAGAGCTGCAGTCCTACGCAGACCAGGAGAGCAACAAGCTGCTCAGGTCAGAAAGGCTTTGTTGATTCCCACGTTTACTAGTATTTTTTCCAGGTGTGGTTAAATATACGCTCTCGTAGTAGAGCTCTCTGTTTGCTATGGTGCTATTTTAAGGCCACTCCACGAAGCCTATCTGGACCAGAACAAAGAGCACTGAAGGTCATCTGTAGTAATCTCCTGAGATCTCGACACCTGTACTTTCCAGGTTAAAAACGTTCTCCTCTACAGTGGCTTGCATTATGTATTCTTTAACTTTTTACCATTTCATCAAGCTATAACCACATACTTAACTCTGTTTGACTGGGATTTACTGATTGCACATATTGAAAACCCATATAAAATGAAGGGCCCTCTGTCTCCAGTCTCCTTTGCCATGAAGCAACCTAATTAGTAAGATTGGACCTGTGTGTGATTTCATCTCTGCATAAGTCCAGTTGCTCTGTAAAAGCCCAAGATTCTTGTTAAAGAAAATTGTTGAAGAAAACATCCTTAAAGCCACAGCAACCAGGGATAAAGATGATAACTCCAGAAGAGCTGCAGCGATAACTTATCAGACCAGCTGCATCCGACTCAGTACATTAAACTCTCTCAGAAACAAAGGTGACTTGTTTGACTGTTAAACAGACACACATTAGGTGACAGTAAAATACTGTCATAATTTGAACAAGGTGTATTTCTGTGCATTGCTTCCATAAATATAAAAGACACACTTTAGACTAAGTTAAGTTGAACCCACAAGTGAATTTGGCTTCAATCTTGCTGATCTTATATTGTTATATTATATTGTTATGTTATATTGGAAAAGCTTTAAATATGTGCTTTATTCTAAGTTTTCTATCTTAGATAGTGTCATCAGTCTTATTTTTAACATTTTAGCTGGAACAAGACCCGAAATATTCAGCCAAAACTGCTAGAGGTGATTAGGCATTAAGTATATTAATGTGTTTGTATGTTCCATTTCAGGCCTAAATCCGTCCAGTGTGGCTAAATGTTGGCTTTTCCTGCACAAACTAAAAATATAAATCTTTAGATGTGCAGAGCTAATAAAGAACTGCCCCTAAAGATCTACTCATGTAGATGTTGCAAAGGGTGTTGACTCAGTTGAGCTGGATAAAGAAGGAAATCAGTTTCCAAAGTATAGTTATGGACAGATCAACACTGTTTAGTAACTAACTTAACTTCTTAAGACAGTTTGCTTTACTGGATGTTATGAAGGGTTATTAGGTAAATGGTTCTGAATACTAATGCAGCCTGCACCTTTAACATTTTTTTGTTTTGAAAAAAAAAATAAAAATACATATGTATATGTATATGTATGTATATATATATATATATATATATATATATATATATATATATATATATATATATATATATATAAAATATATATATATATATATATATATCACATATATATATATGTGATATTCTCTTACAGCTTTGTGAAAGATAAGCATATAAATGCCTTTAAAACATATTGTGAATTGCTGTTTAAACACCAGTACTGTTCCAAAGTATAGCAATTTTCGTAATGTTCGTTTTTTTTTTTTCTTTTTACTATTTTATTCCTATTTGTCTTTGAACGTTACACATTTCTCTACATTTGCCTTCCTTTTTTGTTCTCTCCTAGGAGCCTTTGCATTGATGCTCTGATTGAGCTCTCTGATGAGAACGCTGACTGGAAGCTAAACTTTGATGAGTTCCTTAACTGTCTGAAGCCTAGTTTCAACCCCCCGGAGAAGAGTGAGTCTAAAAAGATTTGTAAAAATAAACCTAAAAAAAAAAAATAACATTACAGTGAAGGCATGCAGATTCCAAAATAACCCTAAAATGAGCCTCCAGTACTTTTTTTCCCCCCAAGAATTTGGAATGCTGTTTGCTCGGTCTGTCATTTGGTTTGGATATATCTGGGATAAAGTTCACAGGAAGCGGAGGCATTACTCTGTCAGCCAGTCAGCATGGAGCACTGAACTATGTGGCTGCAGCAGATTTAAGGGGAAATGAACACAAACACATTTTGGCTTTCTAACAAGCATTATAAACCTCTAACTTCAGTGTTCACTCAACTGATGAAAAGTTTTCTGTAAGTGTCAGAGTTGTTTTTAATCTTACATTTAATAAGTATATATTAAAGAACTGGCCTGTGTGTTGGTCAGCCAGTGGTGCTGACCTATCATGACTAAGCAAAAGGTGGAAAGTTGCAGAGAGGCTGTAAGATAATATGGCTTCCTAAAATGCTGACAAGTCATATTGTTCGAAGCTGATATCTAATGCTGCTTTGTTATCACTCTGCAGCAGTTTACAATCTGTACCCTGGGCTCATCACTCTGTGCATTTCTACAGAATGTGCCCTGGAGGACGAAACATACGAGGACGGCGCAGAGACCCAGGTCGAGTGCAATCGCTGCGTCTGTGCTTGCGGCAACTGGGTCTGCACTGCAATGACCTGCAGCGGTAATGACTTTATCATTGAAACTCTGAAGCAAACCATTTCCTAAAGAAACAACTCTTTACATTTTCTGTTTTATCTGTCCAGACAAACAGGCTGCAGTGGGTGAGTCAGCAGATACGGGAGCGGAGATGACTGAGGAGGAATGGAACCTCCGTGTTGCTGAGCTCAACAAACACCAGGTCTGTATGAAGTGGGAATCTCTAATTGATAAAATATGTGTCATATGGTGACCATATTTATGAAAATAACATAGTGTCTAAATCAGTTGTTGGAAATACTTGTAATAAATTCTAATTTAAGTAAACAAAACCCAACTATTATTTCTAGTTTGTTTCTGAACAAAGAAGATTTGAAACCATCGATTATTAGGCAGGCCTAACTGTGACCATGAACTATCCTAACACTTTGGTTAAGCTGTGAGTCTCATTATCAGTAGTTTTATCACTACAAGCAGATCAAGGGAAATAATAAATCTAACGCTTGGAGATTTATCTTCAATAAGACTAATTAGACGTTACTTAGATATATGGATCAGGTATCAGATAGCAGATAAAGGTTTTCCCTTATTCTCTTTACCAGTCTTCCGAGGTTCAGTTTGACCCTCTGTAATAAACCACAGTTTAACAAATCCATAATAGTCAGATGTTATCAAGCTATGTTATTCATCTACATGTTTGCCTCTCCAGTAAATGAGTGGATGATTCTGAGAAGGTGACCCCGGGGATTTGGCTGGAGGCTGGAGGTTATTGTGGATTAAGTAAGGTCGTGTACTATGTACACCATGATGGGGGGCGGAGGTGGGGGCGTGTAAAGGCCGGTTTATACTCAGTAATCAGGTCGTCTGCATGTCTGCATATGCCCCCCCCCGCCCCTTCCGCAGACATTCTGGTGCACCTCTCCAAAGTTGTGGGTGACCACAGACAGAAGGCCTCTGATTGGTCAGATCTCCATCTGCTCTACCTATGCGTATTTCCTGTTTGGTACATTGCCTGCTTGTTTTATCTGTATGACCTTCATTGTAGTAAACGACTGGTGAAGTTGGACCAGCTAGAAGAGAGAGCTGCACGAGAACACTGGGATCCTTTTTCCACCTGGGTCCCTGCTCATTTTCCCCTTCATGTCCCTCCGTTTTCGCACAAACTTGA